GTTAGGGATGGTCCAGCCCACAAGATTCAACACTTGTGGCGCACGCACTGCTCGACATACACTGCAAGACATCTAGAAGATTTGATCAGATACTACAGATATTGTAATCTAATACTTGCTATGTAACCGACTAGGATATTTTCCTTGTAACCCTACCCCTCCAGAGTATATAAGGAGGGGCAGGGGTCCCCTAGTCGGCATGCCCCATCCCACATCCAATCACACACGCAATATCTTACGATAGCCAATACAAACCAACAGACCACAGGAGTAGAGTATTACGTCATGCAGACGGCCCGAACCTGTCTAACTCTTTTGTCTCTGTTGCCTTCTTGTTCTTGATTACGCATTCCTCTGCCGATCAATCTACCTTCGTGGGATACCCCTCGGAGGACTGCCGACGATATTCTGTCGATAGTTGGCGCGCCAGATAAGGGTGTGCGTGCTGTTTCCATGACAAACAAGATGGTACACTTTTCAAGCTCTTCGTCCTCTCCAAAGCCCGGTCAGATCTTTACGGTCAGATCGATCTCTTGGGTCATCAATGCTGACGGAGACAGAGAGATCTTCAAGCCGGTGCAGATCGATTCTGCGTCGACCACACCAACGCCCGCAACAGCAGATCCGATCTCGGAACCGCCTCTGAGGTTGTCTTCACCAACAACTCGCCGCCTGCTGCCCCGCTACTCGAGAAAGCAGGTCGGCAACAATGATCTGATCACATCCATTGATCAGGTCGGCCAGAAGCTCGCCGACTACCTCTCCCTCACGGAATCGGCTCTGACCACTCTGGTTCGGCGCCGACCACCTCCCGGTTCCGATCTATCGGAAGCTGATCAAGAAACTCCAGGGGATACGGCCACCATCCATCAGGATGCCTTAAGGGACAAATTCACCGACCCGATCGCCGACCAGCTCTCGCCGACTATCAATATGCTGCAAATCGGCCAACGTCCTAAAAAATCCCTCCACACCATCTTGGAGGAAAATCCAGACTCTGGGTCCCAGGGCTCTACGGAGATTGTCGGCGAAACCGCTGTCGTCCAACCTCCTTTTCCACCCTTCCGTGGAAGCGGGATTTTTAATGTCAGCATCGACAGCCCTCCACGGGATGGAGAAACCGATGAGGACCGCGTAGCTCGCGTCAACAGAAACGCCAACCATGCGCCTCCAACAGACGCAACACTTGACAACAAGATCGGAGTCAAACAATCTAAGAAAGCTAAGTCAAGTCGCTTCCTAATTAAATATTGTTATTATACTTCCAGATATATCTGTATGTCTACATGATTCGGTTGGGAGAAACCTAATCACATCTTGTTGTTGCTCATGATTTCTGATCGGATACGCAAGATCGTTTTTGTGGATCACGACATCCAACAATCAGGAAAGGCGGCCGGCGATAACGCGATGTGGAGCAGTGTTTCCACCAAAGATGCCGGCAACCTCACGTATCTCAGGCAAGCAAGAAAGGTCTTGGACTGCGCCCTCACCTCGGTTGGACGCGCTCAAGGACTTCGCCTCCTCACGCGGATTAACTCCGTCAGGCTCTGATTACGTCCGTTCGCCTACGACTCCGCGTACTCGTCCGAGCTGTCAAACGAACCGTCCGAGCCGTCAAGCGAGCCGCTAAGCGAGTTGCCCGTGTCGCCGACCAGTAACATAAGGACAACATCGCCCGGACTACTTGCTCCGATCACCTGCCGCGTCGCAATGATGACAACCGTAACCGCTGCCATGATGACAATTCGGAAAGCTCGAGGGCTAGGCAATTTCGTACACGTCGACTAGATAATGCCATACGCCACCGACCAGATGTTCTGTCTAAAGCTAAGTCATGCTTTAACATTTTTCTAAATATTCCTCAACCTTCATATATCTCCATGATGTTTCTCCGAGCTGTTTTATCCATGTTTGTTCTCCAAACGATTTTCTTTCATGTGTACTTTCTTAAAGATGACATACAGCTAAACCTAGGCAAATCCCCGAATAGCCATGTTGATGCTCGGATGTTCCCAGAGACGGCCCTATCTCCGGCTTCTCCCTACACGTGCACGAGCGCCTGCCCTCTGTGTTAGGGATGGTCAGCAGCGGCTCCTTAGCGACGCCCTGCTCTTCCTACACGCACACGGGCTCCGCACTCTGTGTTATGGTTAACAGGCTAGCTAAGGCTGGAGACTCTGCTACACACTAACAGGTTGGGCGGTTTATATTAAATATAAACACATCTTCAGAATAACACTAAGTGTTCACACCAACTGATCGTCGAGATGCATACACTATTTCATCACCATTGCTGATTCTTCTCCGGAGTTCATATATTTTATTTTTACATCATGTACTACCCGTTCTACATATTTATATTGCAGGATCATCGTCCAAGTGGTCGGACCACCTGGTACTTGACTTCTCCACCGATCAACTGGTCGGACCGCTAGGTTTATGGACTTCGTCGCCGACCAGTTGATCGGACTATTCGTCGGTCACTTCTAATCAATGCTCACTTCGCCGCCGACCAGTTGGCCGGACTGTTCATCGCTCGCGCTTCACCATCAGCTACGTTGGGGGCTTACCAGCTAAGCTAGGGACTCCTCGCGTTCGGATTTTTCGTGCAAGAGTTGCTAGCTAAGGCTGGGGACTCCCTTGGTAGTTGGGTCTTGCTACGTCTTATCGGTGTGCTATCAAGCTGCTCCATGCTGTTCGGATCAGGGTGCTGATCTTGGGAAGCATGTCTGGGGTCTTGATACGCACATGTCAAATGACGTCGGCAAGCTTTCAGACTTCAATTCTTTGACCCTACTTCAAGATTCATTCATCTTCCAGCAGGCTCGAGGACTAAGTGGCTACACTTCACCTGGCGGTGAATGTAGTGCTTATTTTTTTATTTACCCTCCTTATTGATGGAGTCTAAGTGGCTACACTTCTCCTAAGTGGAAGAAATTACAAATTTTATCTTGAGCCCCTTACATCCTTCTGACAAGCCTTACTTGGCTAAGTCCGAGGTCTCCTAACCAGTTAAACTAATCGGCATTGACTTTCGCCTCCCAGGTCACCAGTTAAACTGATCGGCATTGACTTTCACCGCTCAGGTCACCAGTTAAACTGGTCGGCTTTGATTTTCACCGCCCAGGTCACCAGTTAAACTGGTCGGTTTCGACTTCTACTGCTCGGATCACCAGTTAAATTGATCGGCTTCACGTCAAACTAGTCGGACTTGTTCAAGACGGCGACTGCTCAAAGGATACAAGGCGCTCGAGGACTAACTGTGGGGGGTATAACCTCAGGTACCCACGGCAAGGGACATGGGCCGCACGATCAGGGACGGTCCAACCCACAAGATTCAAGACTTGCGGCGCATGGCACTGCTCGGCGTACACTACAAGACATCTAGAAGATTTGATCGGACACTACAGATATTGTAATCTAATAATTGCCATGTAACCGACTAGGATACTTTCCTTGTAACCCTACCCCTCCAGAGTATATAAGAAGGGGCAAGGGTCCCCTAGTCGGCATGCCCATCCCACATCAAATCACACACGCAATATCATACGATAGCCAATACAAACCAACAGACCACAGGAGTAGGGTATTACGTCATGCAGACGGCCCGAACTTGTATAACTCTTGTGTCTCTGTTGCCTTCTTGTTCTTAATTACGCGCATCTCTGTCGATCAATCTACCTTCGTGGGATACCCCTCGGAGGACTGCCGATGATATTCTGTCTGACACTTGCCGAGCTGACAAGCTTCACAAAGAGCAGACGACTGTTTGGTGGAGGTAAACTCAAGGTGAGGAAGTGACTAGTGAAGCACACGGCGCCCTGGGTGACCCAAACACAGATGCCAAAGGTCGATGCTGGGGACGGTGGCGGTGAGAACCTCTGGCGCAGCAGGGACCAGGGGGTACAGCTCGCCGTGGCTATCACATCGGAGGATCACCGATCGAGTTGGAAGATCCTTGATAGAAAAACCGAAAGGGTCAAACTCAATGGAGACATTGTTGTCACGGGTTAGTGCACAAACAGAAATCAAATTCTAGACTAACGATGGTGACACCAGAACATTGTTAAGAAGGTGGGATTTGGTGGTGGGAATTGAAGTGGAAGCATGATGAGTGACTGACATGGTGGTGCCTTTGCCGACGGTGATTGGCATGAAATTAAGAACGGGCTGAGGATTGGAGAATTTACCGGCATTGGAGGCCATGTGCGAGGAAACGCCGGTGTCGAGGAACCATTTGGCCGCTTAGGGGCCAGCCGGTGAGGCGTGCGCCGCGTTCAGCGTGGCAAGGAGAGCTTGGTGGTTCCACGGATCCATCGGCAGCGGCGGTGGAGGAGGTTGGCCGACGGTGTACTGGGACGCGCCACCGGCGAAGTACGCGTGATGAGGAGCAGTGCCGGGGCGAGGACCAAGAACGCCAGCGCCTGGTGCCCGGAACGGCATGGGCCAGGCCTGGACCATGCCCGTCCACGGGTTGTGGCCCGGCGCCTAGCCCATGGGCGGTCGTGGCGAGCCGAAACCGCCGTGAGGAGCGCCGCCGCGCCCACAACCGCGTCCACGACCACGACGATTGTCATTGCGGGAGGATGAGGTACTGGAAACCGTCGTGGACTTGGGCACGGAGGTGGTGGAGCTGGAGCCGAAGCTGGAACTGTCGTCAGCCAGGGCAAAAGCAGACTGGCGAGGTGCACCAGCGGCGAGCAGTGCATGCTGGGCCGCTGTCTTGGCATGTTCCTTGTCGTAGTGCTCCTCCAGGAGAAGGTATGAACGCGCCGAGAGGAAGGTGTGGGGAGGCTGCTTCACCATGATCGCGGGGATGGCATGGCGATACCGAGAGCTGAGACCGCGGAGCATGTTGAGCACTTGGCTCGTCTCGCAAACCGGCTGGCCGACATCACGGAGTGCATCGGCGAGTTGCTTGAGGCGGCCGGTGTATTGGGGATGTCCATGTCCCCCTAGACCAAGTTGCGGAATTCGGCCTCTAGGTACACGGCGCGATGAAGTTCATTGTCGCAGAACTGGTCGTGCATGCCAGTCCAGATCTCGTACGTCGTGGCCTTGGGAGTGCGCACGATGTCACGCACATCTTTGGCGATGGAGATGTAGATCCAGCTGAGGATGCATTGGTCCACGACGTGCCAGTCGGGATCATGGCGCTGGAGGTCGGTTGGCGGCTCGGAGACATGGAAGGTGAGGTTGAATTTGCCGAGGAAGGCATCCATGAAGCAGCGCCATTCATCGTAGTTGGCGTCAGCGAGGGCAAGAACGACGGGAACATGCGACTTGATGTTCACCGTCTGGAGAACGACGGCAGGGGGAGTGGGGACGGCGGTAGCGGCAGTGCCGGTGTAAGACTCGTCATCGAGGGAAGAGTGGGAGGAGTCGAAGACATCAGCATCGAAGAGGAGGTTGTGATCCATGAGACTGGAGGCAGTGGAGATGGGAGGCGGCAGCGGCGGGCGGGGTGATCGCAGCACGGCGAGCGCGGCGTGAGCGCGGCGGGAAGAAAGCGGTTTCAGGAAGGAACCCGCGCGTTTGATACCATGTAGAGAACAAAATTGGAAGCCAACAGTGATTCGTGCTGATCTCAAATGAATATATATCGTGTACAACAGGGTTGCAGACTTGGCAACCAAACTCATCTGGCACACAGCGTGCGCGTCGTGGGAGCGGGCAGTGACCACGCACACACTCCTGGCAGTTCTTGTGCCCATAGGCCTAGGTGTACATACACACACAGATCATGTCTCAACATGTTGGACTGACAAAGTATAAAAAGTCTGTGGACACTCACCAATGCAGCTACATGCATGTCTAGACCTTTCTTATCCATAGCTGTTTGGAGTTCAGCCACCACATATTCACCTACCTGATTCCATAGAAACATCAATTTAGCGGAAGGTTTTCATCAATAAGAAAACATTCAATGCATACAATTGTTCCAATAAAACATAGTTACTAAAAATAGCATCAGAATAAAAATCACTATGACCACAAATGGAGCAGCAAAATAGGATCTTTGAGAAGCTGCAGTTAACATAACCTTTACGTTGAACAGACAAGTTGGGCTTATGAGAACATCAAGACTTACAGCATCATTAATGCAAAATGCCTTTGTCCACTTGACAAGCGTACCGGAAGCATATTTGGACAAGCAAACAATACAAATTGTAGCCATGTGTATTTTTCAGAATGGTTGTTGACAATATGTGCAAAATCATTCTGTTATTGTTAGGACTACCAAACAAGCAACAGAACGCGAAATCATCCTCTGATCAAACAATGAAAGCAAGAAAGACAAGTTCAGCAGCACAAACCCTGTGAGGTGCTTATCGACGTAGGCATCCAATCCAATCAATGAGAAGGCACAATTCTTTAGGATTTTGAAAAGATACCAGTTTCAGTAAGCAAAGCAAGAAACTTCCAACGTTGCAGATCTTCACCAGATCGGATCCGCCAACCACGCCCAGTCACATGCTGCTCCCAAAATAAATAAAATAAAAAATGAAGCTGTAATTTTAGGCGCGAGAGGGGGAGCGATCTCAATTCTCACTTGGCACAGCTGCTTCATGAACTCTAGCATCTATGTCGTCACCACCTGCCCCAGAGAAGCACAGGATCATTTGACAACAAACAAAAAAGCGCAGCGTGGCGCGGCACTCGACAATTTCGAGCTGCGGCCCGCTCCTATCGGCTACTGAGTTCCTCCGTGTACAAAACTACCACGACCGGAGGCTGAGATTGAGAGAGGGAGACAGATCCACGACTCGTGGCACCTTGAGCGGCGCTGTGAGGGTGCCGTCGACGTCCAAGAGCGCGAGGACGCCCGCATTCCTCCACGCGGCGGCGGCCATCGCAAGTCGCCCGCTCCTCGCGCCCCTGCCTCCGCTACGACCGCGACCTGCTGACCCGCCTCCGCCAGGCCCTCGCCCGGGCCGCACCACATCGGCCGAGCCCGGCCCGCCGATCTGCGGCGCCGCAGCTTCCACACCTCCGGCGCCGGCGGCTCCGCCCAGCCACGCCGCGCGCCATCCTGCTCGACGCCGCGGTCCAAGCCAGCCGCTCCACCTCTTGCCTCTCGCCCGAACCGCCTCCGGCACCGGCAGCATCGGCCGACCACGCCGTGCGCCGCCTCGCCCGAACCGATTCTAGGCTTCGATCGGTCTTCTGTTGTTTGGTGATAGACTCCAGGAATCGATCGCTGGTCACCGAGGTTTAAGCGTCGGTGTCGTGCGCGTTTGAAGCGTGCGGGGTGTGGATGCGTGAGAAGCCTCGCATCAAACATCAAACAGTGGGGAGCTCCGGTTCGAAATGCAAATGGAGCCCTTTAATGAATGGCTAGTAAAACTAATGTATATTTTTACTCATCAAATATATAACTTGAATATGTAATCTTCAATACAATATGCAGAAATATAACAAACATTTACTCTAAAATAGGAAAGGTATTACTAACCTCAAGTTCTATTGAAAAGCATAATCCGTCTAGTATTTCTTGAAATGAAATCTTCAATTACGTCTTTATAATTAATCTTCTCAAAGACATCATTTTCACGTGCTGTTAGTGCCAATCCATTGAGTCTTTCTTGTGTCATAGTAGAACGTAAGTAGGATTTCAATAACTTGAGTTTGGAAAAGCTTCGTTCCGCAGATGCAAGTCACAGGAATGGTTAACAAAATCCTAAATGCAATAATAGCATTAGGATAAAAGGGATGCTTTTTTCAAGAACTTCAGAATATCAAGAGCACTCATAGATTCCTTAAGTGCATCCTGGATGAAAATCAACTCCCCATACAATTCTTGTGCATCAATATCTTTGTGTTCTCTACTTTGAATTGCTTTCTCAAGATTAATACAAGCAGCCATCAAACTCTGATCATCCAAGGATCGCAATCTATCTGAAGTAAACAAGAAACCAAAAGTTTTTTTCATACCCTTGATATTGTTCAAATCTCCTGATGAGCGAAGCTATAGCTTGATCAACAATAGGTATGAAATAATCAATCCTTGATGTTTACCTTCATATTAGACCCATTATCATATCCCTGTCCTCTCACATTGTCCATATCAAGGTCAAGATTTTTCAACTCTTGTAGAATATCAAACAATCCTTTCCCAGATGTATCATTAACATTTAAAAAACCCAAGAAGGATTCTTCGATGCAAACAGAATCGGATGTTGCATCTGTAAGATAATCTGCTGATGCCCTTGTTTGTTTTGCTGCAGCAGGAAGTTGGCAAGTCAGTCAATTCCTTGCTGTAATTTCCTAACAAGCTTCTAGGAAAGCCACTAGGGCTGTTTTCAGCAGAAGACTAGACTCCAAGTCAAGGTCTTTTCTTAGGTAATATCTAGGAAAGCCACTAGGGCTGTTTGTAGTCTCTATCAGCTATAAATAGAAGGTAAAGGCACCAGCCAGCAGCAGTTCAGCTGCATCGCATATTCAGTTTCAGCAAGTGCTTAAGTGTGATGTATGTGCCGTGTGCTGTTCTCAAGAGCACAGCAGCAGCACTACTATGCACTGTGCAGCTGCAATAGCATTCAGGAAAGTGCAACAACACTTTTCTTGCTGTGTGTGTGTGCTCACCCTTCCTTCAACCTCCAGCCGTGAGTTTGTGAGTGAGGGTGCTAGTGAGCTCGCTGCTCACCTGTGCATGGAGATCGAGGGCCAACTAGTGGTACTGGAGCCGCCAGGTTGACTGCATTGCCCAGCTAATCACCGGCAATGGCAGGCGGTGATGGCTCAGAGGTGGACGAAGGCAGTGGAGCTGCTATAGTTGCCTAGCCACGCTAGGTCATTGTGGACCGTGCGGGATCTTAGCGGTGCTAACTAGCCGGTCCTCACCCGCACGAACTACGGCGGTGACCATGAAGGTCAAGCTTAGAGCCCAATGGCTCTGGAAGGCGATTGACTAGGGCACCAAGGACGAAGAAGAGGACATGTCGGCATTGGAGGCAATCCTTGCTTCTATGCCGCAGGAGTACCGGGAGCCGCTGGGGGCGAAGAAGTCTGCGAAGGAGACTTGGGAAGCTCTCAAGGCCTTGCACATCGGGTCTGAGAAGAAGGCCAAGGGCAGCAGCTGCGGTGGGAGTACGACAACCTCAAGTTCCGCAATGGCGAAGCGGTTCAAGATTTCTCCCTCCGGCTGCAGCAGATCGTCAGTCAGCTGGCAGCGCACGGCATCACCATCGACGACAAGGAAGCCGTCTCCAAGTACCTGCGCGTCTTGCTGTCCAAGTACACCCAGATCGCTCTCTCCATAAAGACGATGCTGGACATGTTGACCCTCACCATTGAGCATCTGACTGGGCGCTTGCGGGCGGTGGACGAGCGCACGGAGGCGACGACAACAACGGACAGCGGCAACTTGTTGCTGACCGAGGAGTGGACTGCTCGAATGAAGGAGAGGCGGTCCGGGGAAGGCTCTTCCAGCCACGGCAGCGACGGGGAGAAGAAGAAGGTCGACCCCAATGCCTGTCGGCGCTGCGGGAAGACTGGTCACTGGGCCAAGGAGTGCCCAAACCAGAAGAAGGAGAAGAAGGCTGAGGCACACCTTGTCCAGGTGGGTGACGACGAGCCTACTCTCCTGATGGCGATGTTCTGTGCGCTGCATGACGTCGAGCCAGCGTTGGAAGCAGAGGAGGTGGCGGCGGTTGCGGAGCAGGGGAAGGCACCGTAGGCCATCCATCTCGATGAGTCACGCGCCCAAGTCCATCTAGGACGAGTGGGTGGCGGCGCAGAGCAGAGGTGGTACCTCAACTCCGGCGCCAACAACCACATGACCGACTCCAGGGATGCCTTCTCCGTGCTCGATGGCGGCGTGACAGGGTCGGTGAAGTTCGGGGATGACTCAAAGGTGGAGATTCGAGGCCGTGGAACCGTCATCATCCGGTGCCAGAACGGAGAGCACCGCGCACTAACGGATGTGTACTACATCCTGCAGCTGCGTTCGAGCAACGTCAACATCAGGCGGCTGGACGGGCGTGGGTGTGAGGTGCTAGTCAAGAGCGGGGTCATAAGGATTCAGGACTAGGAGCAGAGGCTACTCGCCAAGGTGCAGCGCTCTCGGAACCGACTCTACCTGCTCGACCTGAAGGTGGAGTAGCTAGTGTGCCTGGCGGCGCGCCACACAGAAGAGCCATGGCTGTGGCATGCCCGGTTCGGCCATCTCATCTTCGACGTGCTTGGTCGGCTGGAGAAGATGGTGCGTGGGCTACCCCACATCAAGCACGTGGGCGAGCTGTGTGACAGCTGCTTAGCAGGGAAGCAGAGGAGACAGCCATTTCCAAAGGCGGCCAAGTATCACGCGGGGAACGTGCTGGAGCTCATCCACGGCGATCTCTGTGGGCCTATCACGCCGACCACGCATGGTGGGCAGCGCTACTTCTTGCTGGTCGTGGACGACTGCAGCCGCTACATGTGGCTGCAGCTCCTGACGAGCAAGGATGAGGTGGTAGCAGCGATGAAGAAGTTCCAGGTGCGGGCTGAGGCAGAGTCTAGAAAGAAGCTGTGCGTGCTGAGGACGAATCACGACGGCAAGTTCACATCAGTGGAGTTCGCCGCATACTACGTGGATCAGGGGGTGGCGCCACCACACCGCGCCGTACTCGCCGCAACAGAATGGCATGGTGGAGTTGCGGAACTAGACGGTGGTGGGAATGACTCGAAGCATGATGAATGTGATGGGCATGCCGGTGAAGTTCTGGGAAGAGGCTGTGAGCACAGTGGTGTTCATCCTCAACCACGCACCCACGAAGAGCCTGAAGGGCATGACGCCATTCAAGGCTTGGATCGGGAGGAAGCCGGATGTCTCCTTCCTCAGGACGTTCGGGTGCCTTGGCCATGTCAAGAAGACAAAGTCGAATCTCATCAAGCTGGAGGACAGGATTACTCCGATGGTGCTCCTAGGCTATGAGGAGGGCAGCAAGGCCTACTGGTTGTATGATCCGACAGGAGGCAAGGTGGTGGTCTTGCAGGATGTCGTGTTCGATGAAATGGCAACCTGGGGTTCGAAGGATCCGGGCACGGGGGAAGCCAGCGGCGTCAGCAGGATGTTCGTCATCGAGCACATGGTCATCCATGGAGGAGATGCGGGATCAGAGGAGCCAGCTGTGGACGCGTCAAGTCCAGCAGCTATGGCGGCACCGGGTGAGCCGTCAAGTCCGGCATTGACAAGCGCGAGCAAGCAGACTGCAACAGCAGCCACGCACACGCTTCCACCAAAGTCCCCTGCTACAGGCAGGACAGGGGACACCTCCAGTGACACCGGTCGAGTTCGCCCCTCCTCCAAGGGACATCAACGAATACGTGGATGCCTTCCACAACGGCGAGAGGTGCGGTTCCACAGGGTGGACAACCTTGTCGGGGACTCGGCTACACCAGGCCTAGAGTGAGTAGACTGCTTAACGATCAGGAGCTACTCCTGGTGAGTGCGGAGCCGCCGCCCACATTTGCACAGGCCGAGCGGGACACAAACTGGAGACGGGCGATGCTGGAGGAGATGAAGGAGATCGAAGAGAACAGGACTTGGGAGCTTATTGATCCACCTCTAGGCTGTCGTCCGATCGGGCTCAAATGGCTCTACAAGGTCAAGCGGGACGAGCGCGGCGCCATCGTCAAGCACATGGCATGCCTTGTTGCTTGTGGCTTCGTCCAACGCGCGAGGGCATCGACTTTAAAGAAGTCTTTGCGCCAGTGGCGCGCATGGAGTCGGTCCGCCTGCTGCTAGCCATGGCAGCGGTGAAGGACTAGCGCGTTCATCACCTGGACGACAAGTCGGCGTTCCTCAATGGTGAGCTTGTGGAGACGGTCTTCGTCAAGCAAGCTCTGGGCTTCGCCGTTAAGGAAGCATAGCACAAGGTGCTGCTACTGCGCAAGGCCCTGTACAGGTTGAGGCAGGCACCGCGGGCTTGGAACGCTAAGCTCGACGCCATGCTAGGCGCGCTTGGGTTCACGTGCTACAAAACAAAGCACGCGTCTCTACACTCAGTGATGGGGAAGGAGGAGCTCATCATCGGTGTGTATGTGGACGACTTGATCATCACCGGAGCACGTGCGGAGGACATCGGCGGCTTCAAGCGTGAGATGGCGGCTCGGTTTCGCATGAGCGATCTCGGCTTGCTCTCCTACTACCTCAGCATCGAGGTGAAGCAAGAGAGCGACTCCATCTCCCTAGGCCAGCGTGCCTACGCGGAGAGGTTGCTGGAGCGCAGCGGCATGGCTGATTGCAAGCCGTGCGCGACTCCAATGAAGGAGCGGCTGAAGCTAACTCGGCCGGACATCACGTTCGCGGTCGGGTATGTCAGTCAGTTCATGGAAGATCCTCGCGAGGATCAATGGATTGTGGTGAAGCGGCTGCTGTTGCGCTATGTCAAGGGGATGGTGGATCAAGGGATCGTCTTCCCAAAGTCCAGCGGCGGAGGTGGGTTGTAGCTCACAATCTTTAGTGAAGCACTCCCCAAGACCGACAACAAAGGTGGGCTATAGCTCACAGTCTTTAGTGAAGCACTCCCCAAGACCGACGACGAAGGTTGGCTACAGCTCACAGTTTTCAGCGATGTAGACATGGCGGGCGACATTGATAGGCGGAGGAGCACCTTTGGCGTGCTCGTGTTCCTTGGATCGGCCCCAATTTCATGGCAATCATTGAAGCAGAAGGTGGTGACGTTGTCTACGTGCAAGGCGGAGTACGTGGCAGCGGCCACAGCGGCGTGCCAGGCGGTCTGGCTGTGACGGCTGCTAGGCGAGCTGATTGGCAAAGAAGCTCATCCGCCAGCCCTGATGGTGGTGGACAATCAGCCCGCCATTGCCCTCACCAAGAACCCTATCCTTCACAGCCAAAGCAAGCACATCTACGTGAAGTATCATTTCCCTCGGGATTGCGTCGATGGAGGACAGATTGTCATCAAGTTCGTCGAGACCGGCCGACAGCTTGCTGACATCCTCACCAAGTCACTCGAGTGACTTCGGCACTCGGAGCTAAAGAAGAAGATTGGCATGGGTGAGATCAAGGCCTTGGGTTAGCAGCAGGATTAGAGAAAGATTGTAAGATAATTTGCTGCTGCCCTTGTTTGTTTTACTACAGTTGGAAGTTGGCAAGTCAGTCAATTCCTTGCTGTAATTTCCTAGCAAGTTCCTAGGACTGCTACAGCAGTCAATCTTCTCTTAGGTAGTTTTTAGGAAAGCCACTAGGGCTATTTTCAGCAGAAGACTTGACTCCAAGTCAAGGTCTTTTCTTAGGTAATGTCTAGGAAAGCCACTTGGGCTGTTTGTAGTCTCTATCAGCTATAAATAGAAGGTAAAGGCACCAGCCAGCAGCAGTTCAGCTGCATCGCATATTCAGTTTCAGCAAGTGCTTGAGTGTGATGTGTGTGTGTGCTCAACTCTTCTTCTACATCTAGCCGTGAGTTTGTGAGTGAGGGTGCTGGTGAGCTCGCTTCTAACCTGTGCAGGGAGATCGAGGGCCAACAGCATCCACATACCTTATTATCAAAGACATCTGTTCTTGGTGGCTTGCATCAGGAGTACAATCAAGTATAACTGAGAAATATTTTGCTTCTTTTACCTTTTCAATGATTGCAGACTTTATTGCAGCAGCTAGACAATTTATTAATTCATTCTGGATGGAAGGACCAAGATAATGATCATGAATTCTGTCAACCATGCTCAATAGACAAGTCTCTTTTAGGGCCCTTTTGCACCAAAATATCAACCATTCTAGAATCAAGTGCATTCCAAGTTCTTGGATCAAATATATCAGGCTGAAAAGAATTATTCATGTCACTGGCAATAGGAGCCTGAGCCTCTTCTTCAATTTTTGTAGTAGGAACCTGAGCCCCAACCTCTACTGTATCGTCATCATGACCTTCAATTTCTACAGAAGGAGCCTGAGCATGTTCTTCAATTTCTGTAGTAGGAGCCTGAGCCCCAACGTCTACTGTATCATCACCATGACCATCATCAATACTAGCATTTGGACTTTCTCTGACAAGAAATCTTTCAAGAGCACCCTTCTGAGATTGAGCTACTGCATCTAATCTTTGTCTCTTCTTACGCTTCTCAGCACCAGAATCATATTTTCTATATCTACTTGACATGATGAGGATCAATCCTGTTTACAAATACATAAAAAAGATTTATATAGGTACATCCTACAGGCTGCATCGCAATTTGCTAAGACATAACTTCAGAAGATTAAAATTCAATTCAATTAATCAAATTGGGAATCACCTGAGGTCCTGACATCCCTGCTGGCTGCTGCTGTTTGCTGTGGTGACCAACGACGACGCAACGCGAGACTGCGAGAGGCAAGACGAAGTCACGAAGAGTCAAAGAGACGAACGAAGAGTCAAAGAGACGAAGACGAGAGGTCACGGGGATGGGAGTCGTCGAGTCGAGCGGACGCCTGTTGGTGCATGCCGCCGGCTGGCGGGCTTGACGTTTCATACTTCTGATTATCGTTGGGTACTGGGCTAAGGGATGTGAGGTGGGGCCATGAATTTCGGGCCATGTTCGGTCGCCCACCTCGCACCTGCCCATCGACGGCCTTATAGCCATCAGATTTGGTTCAAGTGTTTTATTAGCCCTTAATTTCAATGGAGACGAATTCCTATGTGCATTTTCCTAGGTGCACAATGATTGGAGGCTCTCAGTGGAGGATGTTTTCCTGAGGGACCTAGTATAATTTTTATTGGTCCATTATAATAGAGATTACATAGCATGTTTTCGCAGAAGCTGAGAGAATCGGAAGACCTATTCTAAAAGCTTCAAGTTTTCAGCATAGGAGTTGGCTAACTCTCCTACTCGCCCTTCGGCTAGTGTCAGATCTTCTTCAATGCATCCTCGTGGCTTTCGAAGATTTACTCTCAGGTCCACCTATGGCATGTGCACATGAAGAATCGACAACAAACCCCTAACAATAGACTGGGACATCTCTGTGATGTATTGTGTTAGTTGGCCTGGGGCAGACTTGATGCGCTCTAGAAGAGAGATCTCACCACCCTCCTCCACTTCTGGGATCAGCTCAAGAAGAGGTTCCATGGAGTCCTGCAGGGCTTTTAGTTTCGCCTCCTTGGCGGCTAGGCTCTCCTGCTGCTGCTTCACGGTTTTGAGCCCCTGCACAACGTCTCGATCAGCATTCTTGCGCAAGCGTTCAGCCTCATACAATAAAGATTGAGCTTGATCATGTACCTCTTGAAGCTCGTCCTGTTATCATTGAAGACTCTCTTCCCATCATGAGCACTTTGAGCATTCTGTTCTGTCAAGAGTTCGGCTTCCGCGGAAACAAAACAAGTCGGAATGAAAACAACGAGTAACCACACGAACAAGTGAAGGTTAACAACACAGTTGGGTACCAAAGCTAGGAGCAGCTGCAAGTTGCCTTTGAGTTTCTTCTCCAAGGTTTTCTTTTTATTCTTGGAGGATTCCTTGGCTTTTTCCGCCTTCTGACGGACTTCAGCCTCACGTTCGAGTCCAGCATCATGCTCACCGACTACTCTTTGGATATCAGCCTCTAGCTCGCCTATCCGACTACCCAAGATCTGGGTAGCCAGTTTGTGCTCCGCCCTCGCTGTGGTCAGCTTGCCCGTTAATTCCTTCATCTCCATGGCATGCTTTGACTCAGCTTCCGCAAGGCGGACAAAGAGCTGTTGATGGATCCTTTTGGCTTGGTCAGTCGCCTACAGCTCAAGATTCTACAAACTCAGCTCAATGAGTGGAATACTTATTGGCAGCAACAATAGCCCTAAGGATCCAAAGCATGAAATCTTACCTCAAGGAGCGAATCAAGGGTGGCTTCCTGGGCGCGCACCTTTGACCATACCTCTTTAATCCAGGCCGACTGCTTGTCTCGATAGGGAAGTAGTCGCAGGAGCTTGTTGTCCAACTGTTGCCATGACTTGGCCTACGACTACCAACTGATGATTGGGCACAGTGAGAGCACCCTCCTCTTGTCTTGAGCAGCTGGCAATAGCTGCTCCAACACTTGGCTGCTTAATGGCTGGCTACCATCATGGACCTCTTTAGTTGAAACAGCTCCAAGTTCTGCACCTGGTCCAAAGTTTGCCGCAAGCAGTGGAGTCGCTTCAATCTCCCCTGCTCCATGGATAGTGTCCTCACCACCGGTAGGCTCCTCCACCGAAGCAGTGGCTTCCTCTTCTAGAGACACCACACACGGCTCTTCCATTAGGACAGCCAAAGGCATCTTTATAGCATCGGCAGATGATGCTCCACAAGGACAGCGATCGGTTTCACCAAGGTGACCGTAGCAGCTTCCTCTGCTAGGGTTGGTGGCACTCTGAAACAGGCATACTAATCAGCATGGCTACATAGCAGATATCAAAGCAAAGATTCATGATTGTATACTTACTCATCCTTGACAAGCTTGGGTCAGCCGGGTACATTCAACACCCTCTTCTTCTTCGCAGACGGTTCTGCAGGAGGCTCGCTTATCAGTGGTTGCTTTCCTGCATCTGGTTCGGCTGCGTTCTCTTCCTCAGCATGACCCAGTGGTTGCTTTTCTCCACAAGAGGAGCAGCGGTACCCTCTTCCTCGGCCTCTTGCGGTGGTGTTTGCTCCGCTGTGTCACAAACAAGGCAGCAGTCAACATGCAATTCAGCTATTTTAGCAATAAGAAAGTAGTCGGATACGGGGATACCTGCCCCGTGGGCTATCGGCTATGGTTGCCGAGTACCCTCCGACTCCTTCCCACCTTCAGAAATATGAAGAATAGAAGATGGTGCAACCTTCTGCACTGCTCTCCGATTATTTAAGCGTGGCTTCTTTGGGATGGGAGCAGCCACAAGTTCAACGCTGGGACTCTAAGAGCGCTTCCGGGTGCTAGTCTCACCCTCTTCCTCGTCCTCAGCGGCATCTGCATCACTAGACTCTGTGTCAGATGAGTCAATGCCTCCAAGGGGGTCCTCTGTATCCCGGACTTCATCGTCCATCATGGGTTTATCCAGATTTACGCCCTTGTCTTCGCCGACTAGTGGTGGCGGTGGGCAGTCGTTCCATTCACGCCCATGACACTGTTTTGAGCAAGCAGGTTTCAGTCACAAGAATATTACTAGGCAACCAATTACGGCTATTGAGTACACACAGGATAAATAATCTTACCGCTGGAGGAGGCTTGGCAGCACAAAATGTGGTGATTTCAATAGCATGTGCTCTACGTTCTTCAGCAACTTTCGTAGCCGTCAGAGTATCTCTTTAGCTGAGAGTTCTTCCGAGGACATCCTGGACGGATCTTTTGCTCCGAGGTACTAAAAGCCAAAATTCACCCGCTGCTGCAGAGGTTGAATCCGATGACTTACAAAGTCTCAAAGTACCACTCCTCCAGTCAACCCGGTATCCTTCAGCGCTTGGATTTGACTCAGCAATGGCTGGATCTGCTCCACCTCTGTTTCAGTTAACCGATACACCCAGTTGCTCTGTTTCCTTGGGGCAAATCCAGTATTCTTGGCTAGGATTGGCGGATGATTCTCCATATAGAACCAGTCCGCTGCCCACTCCCTCACCGACTCTATTAAGTCATACTCCAAGTACTGTTTCTTTGTCTCTGTCCGCAGCTGAATTCCAACTCCTCCGACTACAGTCACAGCTAGGTCACTGGGTTGACACTTCACCCAGAAGAAGTAGCAAAAGAGACTAAAGGAGGGACATATTCCAAGAAAACTTTGCATAGATTAACAAAGATCGAGATGTGGAGTACGCCATTTGCGGTTAGATGGTTCACCATCAAACCGTAAAAATGTAAGACCCTGCGGAAGAAGTTGGAAGATGGCAACCCTAATCCCCTCTCGATAAAGGCCTTAAAGAGGATGATCTCACCTCCACTTGCTCTGGGTGTCCAGTGACCGAGCGGTGCTCTCCATCTGCCTATGGATTTCTCCAGCAACAATCCAACAGATGCTAGATCTTCTAACTCCTCCGTCGTGGTTGGCTCCTTACATGCTAACGAATCCAGTGGCGGGTTCTTGAAGATTGGCTTTGGCATCCTTTCTTGCTTCTACTTGTGCTTCTCATCCTTGCTAAGTCTCTTCGAGCGGAGGGTGGTCAGATGCTTCTTTACCATTCAACGACGGCTACATGGTTAGGGTTTGGCCTCTCACTCAGCGGCGGCGCAAGGAATAGATGGGAAGTGCGAGTGGCAAGATATGATGAGAAGTTTTACACTAATAGGGTTTATTTATAATTGATTTATGAAGCGGTATCTTCACTGCTAAGGAGCCCCTTGGGCTCGTACAGCGTCAGATTTGTCACGTTACCATCCCAGGCCTTATTTAGATATCTCCAAATTCAAGTTTTTTTACTCTCTTTTCATTATTAATTTTTAGATATATACATGAAGTATTAAATATAAGTAAAAAAAATAACTAATTATATAGTTTGGTTGTAAATCACGAGACCGATCTTTTGAGCCTAGTTAATCCATGATCGGACAAAGTTTATCAAATACAAACGAAACGTGCTACAGTGTCCAGGTTGCAAAAAAATGCAATCTAAACAAGGCCCCAACATGCGTCTCTGAAATTATTTGTAAACCTATGAAGTTATGTTGTAGCATTTTACCTAAAAATATTCAGTGTATCATATTTTTTACAGAGAACGAAGATATTCTTCTAGTTAGTTCGTCCAAGAACAACACAAGGTAGAGTTGATAAAGGTTGAGATTGATTTCTATGGTTAAACTCTACTCTTACTCGCTTACTTCGGAGCACTGGAGAACACCTGGTCTGTGAAGCGTTGCTACCCTAGAGCTCTACGTCGTACCCGGACGTGAGGGATTACGAGGGATGAACATGGCTGTCATCATCTGCCATCTACCCGTCAACCGTGAAGTACGAGGCAAATGAAGGTAGCCTCTATCCTAGACAACACATCTACGCTATCGACTACTACTCTAATATCTATATAAGGGTTATCCATCTCTATTAGGGTCCTTCTACTAGAGCATTCGCCGCAAGGACGAACGACGATCCCGCAAACAAGTATGAGTAAATATTAACTGATCAAAAGACTTGTAGCCAAAAGAATCACGAACACTCACTTAGTGGAAGAACCCGTTGAAGTAAAGTTGCTCGTCGAGTACAAGTTAAGGAGACACCAACAAATCTAACACTTCCCCGAGCTCTCCCTCACATCTCTCTCTTACAACTCTAGCTAGCTACTAGGGCCTAAGCCCTTGGAGTGAAGCTCAAAGGTGGAGTGCTCTTTTTTCTTGTGTATTGTGTCTTGTAGAGGGGGTACCCCTCTATTTATACAGGGCTCAAGGAGGTGTTTGGAGCTATTTTTGGCGCGAAGCACGAGCTGTCAGGGGGACAAGGTTTTGGTTTGAGCGAGGGTGCTGGTGGACGTTCCGTTTCACTAGGAAACATAGGTGAAATGAACGGGGAAATGAACTTCACCTCCTCATACGAGTTATGATTGGCATAATGCTCCATCATGGGGTTTTCTAGGTGAGTGGCGGAAGCAGTTTTCCCAAATTGTTCACTAAGGCTCCCACAGGTAGGTTTTCCTTGAAAAAGCTTTTTAGTAGGACAGCCTATAAGAAGATCAAAATTGAGGATGGCCTAGATGTGGAAGTCTAGGTGAACCTTGGTTTCATTAATTTTAATTAGCACGCTCCTGGCAATCCAATAACATTCAAAGATGAGTCTTATGGACTTTTGAAGGGTTCGTTTGTCGAGACTAGTGGCATGTCACCCAAGAGGTTTTTCGCTAGGAATTCTGACATGGTACTTGTTGGGTTCATAGACCCGAGGTCCCTCAGGGACCGGCTTCCACGCCAAGGCTTGGCCCAAGCAGACAGCACGCAACTCATGGGCCGGCCCAAGAGTCTAAAACAACAGGCCAGAAGGGCGGTCCAGTCACCGACCGGAAGGTCTGGTCGAGGAGGAACAGCGCTCGCTTGTCGACTACTTCTGCCCACCTCTCCGACCGGAGCGCTCACTTCGGACTCTAGCCGCCTCCAGACAGCCTCTCCGATCGAAAGGCCTAGCCCAAGCACTACTTCTGACTCCGACCTCGCGTCTCCGACCGGGGTACGCAGAAACCCTGCTCACCGCTCTTCTCCGACTGGCGCAACCAGAACCGACTAGGACCAACCGATCGGGGATGCCCGCTCGGAAGGGACCAGGGAACAAACGGAGAAAGCAAGGCTGGGCGCACAAATCAAACCACAATACAAGGGACCATACCCTGTACGCCTGCAGGAACAGTACTCTGCAACCTCCCTGACACACACAGTGTTGTAGGTGCCGATATTTTCCCTACAATGTTGTAGGCGCTGACATTTTTTCTACAGTATTGTGGGCGCCATTGACTCCCATACGGTAAGGCTCCCCCCACATGCCTCTGGGCATCGACAGTGTTGTGGGCGCCGGAATTACCGTACCGAGTGAATGTGGTAAAACTCCTCACATGCCTCTAGGCATCAACAGTATTTGCAGGTACCGAAATCTGCCATTCCTGAAGAAGACAACGTGACCTCCCATGTGCATCTGACATCCAACAGTGTTGTGGACGCCTAGCATCATCCTATACCCGTCGGCGTGGGCAACAAGGCTTAGAAGCATTCATACTCTCTTTCTCTCACTTGTAAGGCCATCCCCTTCATCTATAAAAGGGGATGCGCTCCCTCCAACATGAAAAAAGTTGATCCAAGTTGATCAAAGTCCCTTTAGGTTCATTTGATCGACCAAGTTCACTAGCTCACAACCACAGAACCGCCAAGTTCGGACCTCAGGCGCATGCTTGAACACTTAGCTCATAGTGGAGCTCCTGTCGCTCTCGGCTCTTCCGACCGGAGCCGATCGGGCCTCTTGTACACCCCATCTTTCTCCTTCTCGTTTGTAACCCCACTGCAGACTTCGAATACCTAGGCTCAGGAATAAAGTCACTGACCGACTCAAACTAGACGTAGGGCACATTGCCTGAACCAATATAAACCCTGTGTCATTGAGTGCTAGGCCACCTCCGATCACAACCACCTCCGATCATAACGTACGGTAAAACTACAAATATTTACGTGTTGGTCACTTTCTGCACTGACAATTGGCGCCGTCCGTGGGGAAGACGCTGTACATTCAACACTTTTTGGTCATCGGATGGCCCACTTTTCCGCCACCCTCGCCGTGGTGGGCTCGGGTGATACAATTCGCTTCGGCTCGCTGGAGTTTCCCGCACTCTCACCTGTTGGGATGTGGGCTCCACCCGTCTTCGAGCCATCCCAGGCCTTCCTCTTCGGAAGCCTAGACTTCGTCACCGAACGGCTTGGCGTACTACACCTCCGCGAGGAGGCTCACGTCCCGGCACCCGTCGGAGGGCGCCCTCCATCGACTCCGGGACGCACGACTTCAACGACGCGGCATCTACGCTTCTTTCCAAGCAAACTCTCTGCTCAAACCCAGCTATGAGTAATGTACATGCTGTTATTTACTTACTATTATCTATCTTCCGCCGATTACCCGAAGGAACCCCGTTGTCCCCGACGCGGCCGCCATACGACCAGTTCCCCTACGGCCTCGTGTCTTCCATGGACACATACGCCCGGGGGCTCTATAGGATGCCAGCGCCGCCCCCTCTCGCATCTGAATTTGTGGGAATGACGAGCTATGCTCCCACCTGTTTCCTCGACCTCATGGATGATGATGGCGAGAGTGAAGGCTCCAGCATCGGTGACATGGCACCTAGCCACTGTCCATCCTAGGAGTGCGCCATGGCGGACGCTCCGGGACACCCACCGTGTGGAAGTAGAGTCCTCACAGACTCACACCTCACCAGACTCTCGTGTAGAGACCCCCGAGCTCACACGGGAGCACGACGAGGCACTATGACAACAGTGGCTGCATCAGCCACCAACTGTGCCAGTGCGCTTGGCGCACCACACTATGCCCCGTACGCATAGACCGGCGAGCGGCACCTGGGGTCGTGCCCGTCAGGTCCAGCGCAACACCATGGATAGGGGGACCGATCCCCCATAGTTTGCTCGGGCTAGTCAAAACATTGCCGCCGCGGCAATGCTTCTGCGCGGCCTGTCCGAGACGAACGACCCTCATGAACATGCGATCCACTAGAACCTCCGGGCACTAGTGGAGACCGCCACCGTGCAACAAGTGGAGAGCTCCGTATCGCGACGCCAACTCACGACCTCACTCCCCACTAGGGGAATGGGGACGCAGCAGATGGGTTGCTCCACCCGATCACCACGACGGCCATCGAGCGCGGCACAGGAGGCCGCATTGGCACCTCGCCTTGACTTGGCGACCGCTCCGTACCGATTGCCTGTCTACGCGCGGCTCGGGTCGAACCAAGACACACGCAGCAGTGACCGAAGTCCTAGCCCTGATGGCCCAGGACCGCGGACCTTTGTCCAAAACCTCCAGCGAGCGCCACTCCTGCCGCGCTCCAGGATCAGGACAAGGGCCCCTCCATGTAGAGGGGGAAAAAGAATAGAAAGGATCGCCGCCGATTGGCCAACTCCGTG